TAATCATCTATAATTTAATTTTCTGCTATAAATTAAAGGAATAAAGGAATTTCAAAATTATTCTTTATGTGAGATTCGAATAGCCCCTGGGTCTAGTTAACGATTTAAAAATAAAATTAAATTATTGTAGAAAAATATTCTTTCATTTTGGTGTGAAATTAACAGTTTTGTAATGTGGGAAAACTGATAAAACAGCCACTTCCTTTAACGGAAACTGAAGCATCCTTTGTTTTTCCTTTATCTGTTATAAATCTCACCACACTGGGAATTACCGACCCCTCAATAATTCCCCTTTTCATCTGTTCATGTGTGTGAAGACAAATAAGCTGATTGGCCCTAAATCAGAGGATATAGGCAAAGATCTGCTTGATTCGGGGAGTACGCCATAGCACCTCATCGAAGCCAGACATATTCCATATAGGCTCACTAAGGCCAACGCCCTTAGTTGGGAGTACGCCAGAAGATCCCATGAAGGGAAGACATAGTCCATTCAATGCTCCTAAGGCCAACACCCTTAGTCAGGAGTAGTATCATATGCTAAAGCCAACGTCCATAGACATAATTTCTCCATGTTAAAGATAAGTTTAGTTAGAAATACGAAAGAGATATTTTATTTTGTGCCTATCAAGACCTCTCTATGAACAGAAGTCAGAGAACTGGAGAAATGAAGTAAAATCGACAAATTAAGAAGAAGATAAAGTCAACTAAAGAGGTTGTATGCTTATCATGAATTTGTGAGCTCTCTCTCTCGGCACATATATTTTGATTTATTCATTTTCTAAATCGATTGTCTTTAACTATTTCCATTTTTATATGATTTTGTTCATTTTAGTTTATTAAAATTTTCTCTACTATTGTTAAAGAAATGTCTCTTGATAACTCTCTGAATCAAATCCATATCATATCCAATCGCGTGTTAATCTGCGAATATAAAATTGGTTAACTGGTGTCAGGTCCTGACAAGGAAGAAGGTGAATTCGCCATCACCAAATTCCACTCTAAATTTATTTTAACTGTAAGTCCCTCCGCACTCGATTTCCTTGGATTGGGAAAAGCCATTCTCTTGGACAACTAGAGAACTAGTTTCACCAACTAGAAGCCAATTAAGTGATACAAGAGTAATAAACTACTCTGTACCCCCAGCTAGATCTCACATTTACTAATAATGAATTAGGTATGCAAATTTAAACAAATTCTAATCTTATTGTTTTTATAATGAAATTTGCTTGGAAATCCATTATCCAACATTCTTGTTTTATGTTGTGCATATGTTTTAGATCAGTATCAGTATAAAAATATTTATAACTGTAATTTTATAAGTATTTATGGAATGACAATTGAATTAACAAAGGAATCAAACTGATTAGAATCTTTTCTATAAAGTTTAATATAGTTGTTTTAAGTGGGGTTTGTTTTTCAACAAGTATTATATGAAATTTTGCAAAATTACAAGATGAAATTGTTAAAAATTCACAAATAACATACTGTATATAATCAAACACACCACAAATAAAACGATAAAAGCTCAAAAAACATATGAGTGTAATGCAAGAGCAAGAGTGAGAGATGACTTGAATGCACAACAGATTGTGTTTACATTTTGACTGCATTTTTCACTATGTGTGCAGTTTGAACTTCAAAGCATCATTCAAACTCAAGGTGAATTTTTGTTGAATTTAACATTTGAACTCTGAAGTGTTCATTTATTATTTAAAATATCATTAGAAAATGATAACATGATGTGACTCTTGTATAGAATATTTTCTGCTTCTTTAGATAAAAGTATAATGAAGTTCATTCAGATTCCAAAGGGCAGGAAAAGGTCAAAAAATGAAAAAATGGTATTTGCTGTGATTTGCACCTGCCTATTCATTTTGCAGAATGGCAGTGAGAATAAAATTTGTGAAGTGAATTGAATCATTTTTCAATTTTCCTTTTGCTTTCTTTTGAAAATGTTTATCTGAATTAAGCTTAGATTTTTTCACAGCACATAAAAGCTGAGCAATCAAATCAAATCCATATCATTCAATGTTATGGATATCATCATTATTTGCTACTTAATTTTTTCTGAGTTCATGTTAATATTTATTATTATTATAATGGTGGTATTGGTTGACTCTTCTTCTGGCATATATAATGGTGTCCAAAGCTATGCAGGACCAAAGTCAAAGTATAACTTTGTCTTTGGTCTAGCCTAGCTTTATTTACATGATGTTCATATATGTATCTGTGTTTAAAGCTTTCAATGACTATGTGACATTTTGGTATGGTATGGTATGGTATTGTATATGTGTAGCTTTCTGTAGCATGAGGTATGTGCTGTTGTGAAGCCCCGATGTTTCAAATCTTTTGTGTAATGTATATATTGGGTTGTTCAGAAAGTAATTTAATTTTTTTTTACCACTAGACGGATTAGTCATATTTTCCCCGCCATTTTCATTCTAAACCATATTATCATTATATATTTTGACAGCCAGCATTTTAAGGCTTATTTGTAAAAAGTTTTGTTTGATTTTGTGCAACTGTTTATTTTTTTGTGTCCCATCAAATATGGAAGATCGAAAGCAGCATTTTCGGCATATTTTGCTCTTTTATTACAGAAAAGGTAAGAATGCTGTTCAAGCGAGAAAAAATTATGTGATGTGTATGGAGGTGTATTGACAGAACGACAGTGCCAAAACTAGTTTACAAAATTTCATTCTGGTAATTTCAATATTGAAAATGCACCACGTTCTGGATGGCCAGTTGAAGCCAATGAAAACAAAATAAAGGTACTGATTGAAGCAAATTGCCAAATAACAACATGTGAAATCACTAAAAGATTAAATTTGTCAAATTGAACTGTTTATGATTACTTGAAAAAAATTGGTTTTGTTTCAAAGCTTGATATATGGGTTCCACCTGTTCTTAAAGAGAGATGCTCTCTTTGGTGGAATTTTAAGGAATTTTTTTTTTTTTTTTTGCACTTTTACCAGAATTTGGTACTTTGGCCAGAATTGATCAACAAAACAGGTGTAGTGTTTTACCATGATAATGTCAAATTTCACACAAGTTTGGTAACTCGTCAGAAACTGTTATAACTTAGATGGGACGTGCTATCACACCAACTATATTTGCCAGATCGAGCACACTCAGATTATTACTTGTTCCGGTCTATACAAATTTTTTTTAACTGTAAGACATTTACTTGAAATGACAAATGTCAAAAATCACTTTGATCAGTTTTTTGTAAGCAACAATCAAAACTTTTATGAATGTGAAATCATGCTGTTACCAGAAATGATGAAAACAGGTATTTGATCAAAATGATCAATAAAATATTTATTTATTATAAAAATATTGTGTTTTTTCCACGGAAAAAAAAAACAAAATTACTTTCCGAACAACCCAATAATATGATGTCTATGCAAGAAAGGATTATAGGTGCAATAAGTACCTTACCAATTCTCCACAGACACTTTATTTTGTGAGTTCCAAATATTTGCTAATTTTTTTAGTGTATATATTTTATATATATATATTATGGAAATTTTTACTTCTATAATGTATTTGATTTTGTTTATCAATGGATGTAATGTCTGGTTTTATCTGTGATTATGGCAGTTATATTTTGTGTGTTCTTTTCTATGATTGTCTGAAGTGTGTATTTATAGAATTGTTCTTGGGGATGTAGTATTCATGTTTGTATGCAAGTTTTGATGTATTTGCTATTTGGTTATATTGATGTAAATAGTCAGTTTGTGTTAAAAGCTTGCAAGCTGATGTGATGTGTTGTATAGTTTTGTGAATAATGTGCTGTATTTTGCAAGTATCTCTAAGTGCTGTCTTTTAAAATATGTTTTATTTGTATTTTTCACCTTGTATTTATAATCTTGGTCATGAATCCCTGCTTCTCTTCAAAGAGACATCCATAAGTTAGTCAGCAGTTTGTAGAAATGAAACAAGCAATGAGTTCATAAAATAATAATTGTTATCGTAATAAGCTATGTATTTTCATGGTCAAAGTTATCTGAAATGACATCATTATATAGATAGGGGATAATTGCTAGAAATTTATCAGCTTTCAAGATAAAATTAAATTAGTAATGTTCAATATTATCAATTAAAGCATGGATTGAATGTACAAAAACTGAATAGGAGAGAACTAACGGCAATAGTTATTAGTTTTCTTCTATTCATTTATTAGATGCTCCCGTATGGATAATGTATGTATTTGATGATTTCAGAAAAATTGCAATGGCAGATGAATGTCTGTGGCACATACAGTATTTTTCACATTCTAAAGATCTCTTAGTGTTTTTCGATTAAAGAAAAAGTTGTTTGATGAGTTTGCAGTTACAGTTTAAAGTAGTTATAGAATTCATTCAATACATAATCCACAACCATTTTAAAATTGTCTGATTGCCTCAAATTGCCAAATTTCATTGTGTTCCAGTTTTCTCAATATATCTTTTATGTTGGTATTTTGATTATGTTCTTGTAATGAATGAAGTCAGAAAACCTTTACAGATTAGAATCAAATGAATTGTTAGGAATATACTGAGGATATTGTAATTATTTTGTGTTTTAAGCTCTTTTTTTTTACTGAGCTTTAATTTCATTATATATCTAGAAAAAATGTACCAGAAGCAGGGCCAACTTACCAATTTACCAGTGTAAATGGTGCAATTGCAGAAGGCCTCACAATCCTGCATGATCCAACTCTTGTGAAATTTAAAAATTGATTATTTCATTATTCACTAATTTAATTAATTTTTGCTAATCTATTTTACAGATGGTATGTTTATCATTAAAATATTATTTTGTTGTTCAAAACTTTTTTTATTATTATTAAAAGACCCTACATGAGAACTTTGCACCAGGTCCCACTTTTCCTTGGGCCAGTCTTGACCAGAAGGAAGCACACTTTTCTAGACATATTCATTCATTTATTACTATTATTATTAATTGTTTTAAAGAATAAAATATTTTAATATTAAAAAATAATTTTTTTAAATTTATTTCAGAGATGTTTAGGTGTAAGGTTTCTTTATCCTGTATATTGCATTCCTGAAGTAGAAGTTATTCCAGGTCATCATACATCAGTACAAACATTAGAAAAAGGTTTTGATGATAAATATTAATATTAAAAATTAATATTAAATAGAAATATTTACTTAATATTTTAATGTTTAAAAAGTTTAAATCAGAAAATATATTTTCTACATTTATTTTTTGAAATTAAAAATTAGATTTTTTTCCCCTTCATTCAATATTACATTATCTATTTCCAATACTGTTTTTATTTGAAATTTAAAATTTTAAATGAATACATTTTTTTCGAAATTAATGAAATATTTTTTAATATCAAGTTTTTAAATATTTTAGTGAGATTGTTTTTAGAGAGAATGGGAAAAATAGCATTCTTTCGATCTGGGACAGAACCTATGGTTTTAACTGAAGAACAGAGGGAAGCAAGAAGAAACGGTAAATAAATTTCTTTTTAATTTTAATTTTGATTTATTTTTAATAATAATAATTATCAGGAAATTCTTAGATATATATTCAAACAACATGTAAATAAAACAATAACATTTTCCTTCTAGCTGTGCTATCATCTCAAGGCCTGACTGGCCATTTGACAGTTTTGATAAATGCCAGAGAGACCAGTGCCTTCTGGGGCTGGTTAACATGGCACTGGAGTTATACAAGAAATGCATAACTTTAGAAATATTTTTTATATAAAAATTTAAAGCATAATACTGTATGAACAAAAGACATAATGCTTTCAACTGGTTTGTCTGAGAGTGTAATAAGTATGTTGCTATCTTTGTCTGTTGTATTTGCTTAAATAAAGATAGCAATGTATTTAAGTATTTGAATATGCATAGTTCTGCATTGCTGTTCAAAATAACCTATTTAGTTAGTCTTCTTTTTCTTTTAGTTAAACAAGGTTTTAAGCCCAGTTTTTAATACAATGCCAGGATTGAATTTTGTTTACACATTGACCCTGCTTGACTTTGGTCTGGCATAGTACTAAGTAGCAGTAAGTCAAGTAGAATACATTCCTTCAACACCCTAATGATAATATGTGTGTAAAATATTAGAACAGCTGTTTAATAGTGATGAAATATATATCTGCTTACAGATTTCTTTCACTAAATTTCTTAAATTTCTTCTATTGAATATATTTATCAGGTTTTCTATTGTTTATGATTTTTGTTACTTTTTAAATATTCTTTTTAAAAGTAATTATTATAATTTTTAAAGTTTTTTCCCTCAAATTTATATCAATAGAATTTACAACATATATATAACAGCAGAAAGATAGAATATTTTCATATTCTATCTTTCTTTCATCATAGTTCATTAGGTAAATGTTGCTTATCATTAATATCATTTAAAATCAGTTGTAAAAAACTTAACAGCAGAAAGATAGAATATGGAAATATTCTATCTTTCTGCTGTTAAGTTTTTTACAACTGATTTTAAATGATATTAATGATAAGCAACATTTACCTAATGAACTATGATGAAAGAAAATAAACTAATTATATCAAGAACAGCCTTAAATAAAAAAAACCTTTTAAATGTTCAGCATAATTTTTTTTTTTTTAATGTTTATTCTTAGCTAATTTTTTCATTAAGCTTTTTTTATAAAATTATTTCATTTCTATAATGACAAAACTAAAATTAAGTTTCTTTTTTTAAAATTATATGTGTTTTCTAATTGAAATATTTGCATGTTAGTATCAATAAAACTTTGAGCACACAATAAACTAAGATGATACAGAATACAATAGATATAATTTATATAATCATGTATTAATTTTTTTTATTAAAACCAATACTTTTTATATTCTTTTCTTTGAATGTATTTGAAATTGCTAATTGAATTAAAAATTATAAAAAGATGCCTTTTCAAAAAATTATTAATAATTAATATTAATTGTTGATATGTTTAATACATTACAAAACATTAAAGTAGGTAAATATGGCTAATGAATTCACTGGTATTTGAGTTACATAATGTGTTTGAAAGATTTGTCTTTATTAATTGATATATTTAATAACTAAAAGATAGTTTAGTTTTTATGAAAGTACAATTTGTTCTCACAAAACTAAATATTTAAGCAAAGCAAAAGTTTAGTTGTCAAATATTGCTGTATTATTCATTTATTTTTCTAGAGAAAAATAATTCAGTAAAAACATATTACATATAAACATCCAATAACACAATCTTTAGAGTAACACCAAATGATTACTGGATTACATTGGGCTATAATAATGCTACTAGTTATTAAGTAATTTGGCCTTTGGTTTAGAGATGGTGCCTAATGCCTACTCCTAGGCCAAATTACTTAATAATTAGTAGCAGTATTAGCCTGATATAACCTGATGTAATCTGACAATTGTTTGTCATTGGATACATAGTGTAAAAAATTTGCAAAATAAGTCATACACATTTGATGTTTTCAAATTTATACAAACCTAAAGTAAATTGTGTGATAAATTTTTATATTTAATTAATATATGAATTTTAAAGCATTTACTCTGCATATATGTTTTTATAGAATCATTTAATTCAAAGAATTATTTGTGTTACCCACATGTGCTTTCAAAATAAATAAATAAATAAATAGTTACATAACAACTGATAAATTATAAATTTGAATAACCAGAGATAATAACACTAGCTAAATGATTATTTTGGTTTTTTGTAACCTCTTATATTATAATATATTATAAGAGGTTACCAAAATCAATCTTAAATCAATCTTATATAATATTTTTTATACACTGTAAAAGTACTAAAAGTTTAAAATTTCTAATTAAAGAATAATTAGCAAATTCTTAAGCAGTTAATAATTTGATCGTTGAATAAGACATACATAAAACTAATTATTCTTACATATATTAATTTTATGTATACCTTAATCAAATTAGATTTCAGAATACATAATAAGTTTTTATGTTTATTACTTGTTCAAAATTGAACTTGTTTCTTAGTAATTATAATAAAATAATTATTTATTTCAATGATCTTAAGTAAAACAATTTTCAATAATATTACAGCATATATTCGATATTTGAAAAATAATAAAGGACAGTTAAGAAAAGTAAGATTTGCAGTACCAGATCTTGCAAGTGATGCAACTATTTTAAATGTACTTAGTGGAGAACAAAGTAAGTTTTGATTATGTTTTTAAAATATAATTTATAAACATGAATGATACTGTCTTTTGGCATTAAAATATTTTAATGATAACAAAAATAGCAAGTACTTTCAATATTGAACTGATGTCAGGCAATACAGAATACATTAAAAATACTGTTAGAATAACTTTAAAAAATCACAAATAAATTTTTATTCGGACTAACTGTGTAAGTGTTCTCTTTCGTTGTTTCTTCAAACACCATCTGAAAATAACAATTTCACTGGTGGAGGGACAGTGAAAGAAGACACAGAATTAGTCCAAAGAAAAATTCATTTGTGAATTTTTTAAAGTTGTTATTTATTTATATCCCAGCTAAAATATTTTATTAAAATGTATACTTTTTAAAGTGTGTATGCCACATGGAACAGATGGAACTTTTTTATTGTTTTGCATGTTAAGGTGGGAAATAGTAGCCTCTAAAGAAAGGTCATCTTTGCCGGTGAAATTGTTATTTCCAGATGGTGTTTGAAGGGACAACAAAAGAGGATACTTACACAGTTAGTCCAAAGAAAAATTCATTTGTGAATTTTTTAAGTTGTTATTGTCTCGGCTAAAATATTTTATATTGTTAGAATGTTTGCTTAAACCAAGATGGAACATATATTTAAATTTACAAATGTTGAAATTTGAACATAAAATTGAGGGCATATAGTGATGTAGAGATAACATATATTTTTGTATACAATGTCATGAAAAGAGAAAAGCAGGTGATTTGACCTTAAATTAACATAAATATAATATCAATTATTTGAAGTAAGACATTGAGCTAATCTTTTAAAAGTTTAAATATTGCAATTCACAGGTGTGGGATTTCTAAAGTAGATTTATTGCACAGTCCTAATGTAGTTATGTATAATGATTCCCGGATAAAAATAGACTTGTATTCAATGCACTGTCTGATTAGTGATGTTTCAACTCTTAAAGGTATAAGGTTATGGTTTAATACACTCCTAGAGAATTCTATAGTATGTCTATTGTTTATGATATCTCCTGATGTTTCATTAGTCAATTTCAAAGTTTACAGTCCCTATGAACAGAAAACTTTCAACTCAACTAATGGAATATCAGAGGATATCATAAACAATAGACATATTACAGAACTCTCCAGCAGTGTATTAAACCTTAACCTTATACCTTTAAGAGCTGAAACATCACTACTCACATTGTGTTGAACACAAGTCTATTTTTATCATCCAAGAATCATTGTAGATATCTACATTAGGGCTATGTAATAAATCTTCTTTAGAAATTCCACACCTGTGAATTGCAATATTTAAACTTTTAAAAGATTAGCTCAATGTCTTACATGAAATAATTGATATTATATTTTTGTTAATTTAAGGTCAAATCACCTGCTTTTTTCTTTTAATGTCATTAGATAAAATGGAATATAGTGACATGTATATAAAAATACATTATTTTTACATTCAAATTTCAATGTTTGTAAATTTAAATGTCTTCCATCTTGGTTTAACCCTTTGGTGGGCATGCCCATGGCAAATTGCCACACAATTTCAATAATGTCTTGTATAAGACATTGTACATAAGTGGTGCAGTTGTGCTCTGCAGCATTTGCCATTCATAGCATATGTCACCATCTGAATATCAAATGGTATTTTTGTGTTTATCTGTTTTATTGTTTTTCAGCTTTAAATTAGGTGATACTGTATCTACAGTGTACTTGCTTTACACACTTTGTGATATAAATATAGTTTGTGCTTACTTTTATTTATTTTTTAAATGTATTTGAAAGAGTTGCTTATATTTTGAATATTTATTGCATATATATCTTTATTTAACAATGGTTTCATAGGTTTCAAAAAATTTTTAGACTTATATTAGTTTGAAAATATACCAAACAGCTTTTAAGATGGCTAAATTTTCATGATATTTCTCATTCTTATACAAATTTGACCCAGAAGTTGTTGGATGGTGCTTTAGAACATGTCAAAAAACTGATAGGAAAAAAGATTATGACACTGAATCTGAGTGAAAAGATAGGAGAGACTGTAGAAAATAATTAGGACAATGAGTCAAGCAATCAGCTAATTAGACAGATGACTTTTTTGTAGAAAACAAGAATAGTAGAACAAAATCTGTCAAGACTGTGGTAAAAATGCTTGCAAACAAGACATATAATTACTAAATGTGCCAAATGTAAAGGGAAGCAACAGACTGAAATGGAGTGATATAGTTTTTCTACTAACTGCATTTTTTCAATAACTTCCTAACTGCATTTTTTCAATAAATTCCTAACTGCATTTTTTCAATAAAAAATTCTAAGAATAATTACCTCTTTTATTTTATCAATATTTTCAAAAAATCATGTAACGTTAATTTTTTTGATGCCTGGAAATAACCTAACATTTATGGCATTACATAGACCAAAAACAAAAATGAGGGTTGGTCAGTGCCTGGCCTGGACTTTTAAATAGGCAAACACGAATGAATTTGTTTAAAAAGATATACCTATTAGTATTAGAAAATTCAAAAAATAAATACTTGACTACTAGTCAAAAAGTAACTAGATTTATTATTATTCTAAAACCGACTATGTACAATTTTTTAAATACAAAATACAAAAATTGTTAGAAAACAAGAACTACAAAAGTTATAAAATTCTCAATGAAAATTTATCTAACTCAAGAACAAAACCAAAACAACAAATCAAAAAACTTTCCTGATACTTGGAAACTTAGTCTTAAGAATAGTACAGTAGAGCGTCATTTATCCGAATCAATTGGGGACTGGGGTGGTTCAGATAACTTATTTTTCAGATAACGAATCATGTACGAAAAAATATATTAATTTATCCCATGTTGAAATTTCTCTCCGTTGCGTGTCGCTTTGCGTTGAATTTTCGTCGATGTTAAGCCTAACNATTTGCTAATTTTTTTAGTGTATATATTTTATATATATATATTATGGAAATTTTTACTTCTATAATGTATTTGATTTTGTTTATCAATGGATGTAATGTCTGGTTTTATCTGTGATTATGGCAGTTATATTTTGTGTGTTCTTTTCTATGATTGTCTGAAGTGTGTATTTATAGAATTGTTCTTGGGGATGTAGTATTCATGTTTGTATGCAAGTTTTGATGTATTTGCTATTTGGTTATATTGATGTAAATAGTCAGTTTGTGTTAAAAGCTTGCAAGCTGATGTGATGTGTTGTATAGTTTTGTGAATAATGTGCTGTATTTTGCAAGTATCTCTAAGTGCTGTCTTTTAAAATATGTTTTATTTGTATTTTTCACCTTGTATTTATAATCTTGGTCATGAATCCCTGCTTCTCTTCAAAGAGACATCCATAAGTTAGTCAGCAGTTTGTAGAAATGAAACAAGCAATGAGTTCATAAAATAATAATTGTTATCGTAATAAGCTATGTATTTTCATGGTCAAAGTTATCTGAAATGACATCATTATATAGATAGGGGATAATTGCTAGAAATTTATCAGCTTTCAAGATAAAATTAAATTAGTAATGTTCAATATTATCAATTAAAGCATGGATTGAATGTACAAAAACTGAATAGGAGAGAACTAACGGCAATAGTTATTAGTTTTCTCCTATTCATTTATTAGATGCTCCCGTATGGATAATGTATGTATTTGATGATTTCAGAAAAATTGCAATGGCAGATGAATGTCTGTGGCACATACAGTATTTTTCACATTCTAAAGATCTCTTAGTGTTTTTCGATTAAAGAAAAAGTTGTTTGATGAGTTTGCAGTTACAGTTTAAAGTAGTTATAGAATTCATTCAATACATAATCCACAACCATTTTAAAATTGTCTGATTGCCTCAAATTGCCAAATTTCATTGTGTTCCAGTTTTCTCAATATATCTTTTATGTTGGTATTTTGATTATGTTCTTGTAATGAATGAAGTCAGAAAACCTTTACAGATTAGAATCAAATGAATTGTTAGGAATATACTGAGGATATTGTAATTATTTTGTGTTTTAAGCTCTTTTTTTTTACTGAGCTTTAATTTCATTATATATCTAGAAAAAATGTACCAGAAGCAGGGCCAACTTACCAATTTACCAGTGTAAATGGTGCAATTGCAGAAGGCCTCACAATCCTGCATGATCCAACTCTTGTGAAATTTAAAAATTGATTATTTCATTATTCACTAATTTAATTAATTTTTGCTAATCTATTTTACAGATGGTATGTTTATCATTAAAATATTATTTTGTTGTTCAAAACTTTTTTTATTATTATTAAAAGACCCTACATGAGAACTTTGCACCAGGTCCCACTTTTCCTTGGGCCAGTCTTGACCAGAAGGAAGCACACTTTTCTAGACATATTCATTCATTTATTACTATTATTATTAATTGTTTTAAAGAATAAAATATTTTAATATTAAAAAATAATTTTTTTAAATTTATTTCAGAGATGTTTAGGTGTAAGGTTTCTTTATCCTGTATATTGCATTCCTGAAGTAGAAGTTATTCCAGGTCATCATACATCAGTACAAACATTAGAAAAAGGTTTTGATGATAAATATTAATATTAAAAATTAATATTAAATAGAAATATTTACTTAATATTTTAATGTTTAAAAAGTTTAAATCAGAAAATATATTTTCTACATTTATTTTTTGAAATTAAAAATTAGATTTTTTTCCCCTTCATTCAATATTACATTATCTATTTCCAATACTGTTTTTATTTGAAATTTAAAATTTTAAATGAATACATTTTTTTCGAAATTAATGAAATATTTTTTAATATCAAGTTTTTAAATATTTTAGTGAGATTGTTTTTAGAGAGAATGGGAAAAATAGCATTCTTTCGATCTGGGACAGAACCTATGGTTTTAACTGAAGAACAGAGGGAAGCAAGAAGAAACGGTAAATAAATTTCTTTTTAATTTTAATTTTGATTTATTTTTAATAATAATAATTATCAGGAAATTCTTAGATATATATTCAAACAACATGTAAATAAAAC